CAACCCTCAAAAAACAATAGTGTTCCTATTAGTGTTCCTATTAGACTATTAGGAAAATAGTCTCATTCACAATAGTTTCAATAAAATTACCTGGAGATTAAGAAGATGAAGTAAAAGGAAACTTTGGTACTTATTATGGTTTACATCTAGGTGGACCCCAAACCTCATGTGTTCACAGTTTGGACTTTGGGGAGGTGATTGGACAATTGGGGCATGACAGTCTCAGTGGATTAGTCTGCTGATGAGCTTATAGATAAATGTGAAGTTGGGAGGTGGCCATGTTTGGAGGAGACAGGTCACTGGAGATGTGATCTTTCTCCCTCTTCCCTAATTGTGATGAGTTAATGTTAAACTAATGTGAAAAAATTACTGTGTTCAACTTTCTGTGACCCTGCTTCCTTGTAAGACCACAAGAAGGCTTGGTGTCAATAAATCATCAATAGACTGAGATTATCCAGAATATACCTACAAAATAAATCAAAGTAAAGGTCAAAATATTTCTGATTGTACAAAATAACTTAAGTGTTGCTAACCAACTGGAAAGTATTGCTGTGGTAGTCAAGACCACAGCAATGTAGTCAAGACCATAGCAATGTAGATGTACATTCAATGGAAACTGAATAACACTCCCAGAAAGAATGTATGTTGAGTAATGGTCACACTGTCCCTGAAGGTGCTGTTCTATGTCACATGACAAATTTGCTTGCCAAATAGGATGTGATTTTTTGCTTTAAAAGCTCCTTGGTCCCTGGGTTAGAGTTTGATCAGCCATCTCTTGCATGAGAACTGACTGATGGCCCTGAGCTCAGTAAATAAAGGCCCTTTTAAATTCCAATTTGGCCTTTCTGGTTCCTGTGCTAGCAACCCATAACACTGATCTCTTCCTGCTTCTTGCCTTCAATGCCATGAACTATTCTTCTCTAATGAGAAAAGTAAATAAGATAGAGGTCTTCAAAAAAGGCATCAGAAAATGAAAATCCTGCATAAGGAGAAATAATATTGTCAAAAGGGCCATACTTTCAAACTGATACACTGATTCAGTGCAAAACAAATCAAAATACCAACAGCACTCCTCACAGAACTAGAAAAAAATCCTAACAGTCATACAAAAGAGAATAACAAAAGCAGCCTTGAGTAATAAGAGCAAAGAAGTAGGCATCACAATACTAGATTTCTAGTTACATTACAAAGCTACAGTGATTTAAAAAATGAAACTAATCCAAAAGCAGACATTTGGATCAGAAGGTAGTATGTAGAACTCCAGGCACATTAAACCTCCTGTTTTTTCAGGCAAAAACATTAAAGGAAAGAAAACTTTTGACCAATAGTTCTGAGAAATCTGGTTATTCACATGCAGAAGGTTGAATGTAGATCTAGATCTTTTATTTTGTACTAAACTAAAATCAAAATTGATCAAATATCTATATATTAAAATAAATACTTAACTAGAAAATAAAAGGCTTGAAGACATAAGCAAAAATGTTCTGAACAGAACCCTAACTGCACAAAAAATCAACAAATGAGATTGTCCAATTAAGCTTCTGCACAGCAAAACAACCAACAAGATAAAGAGACAACCTACACAGTAGGGGTGGGGGAGTTTGGCAGCTACTCCTTGAACAGAGAACTGTTAAGAAAATACAGGGGCTGAGGAAATGGCTCAGTGGAATAAGCACTTCCCTGGCAAGCGCAAGGGCCTGAGTTCAATCCCCGGTTCCACAAAAAAAAAAAAAAAAAAAAAAATTGTTCCTTAGGGCTGAGCATCTGCAAGCAGGCACAGGGCCGGAGGGTTCGATCCCCGGCCTGCCGTGCCAGCCCCGCCCCCGGGGCGCACTGAGACAGTGATAGAGTCTGGGCATGGTGGCGCGCGCCTGTAATCCCAGCTCTTGGGAGGCTGTAAACAGGCGGATCACTAGAAGTCCAATCTGGTAGTGAAACCCTGAATCTCCTATAGGCCCTTCCCTAAAAGAAAATACAAAGAATTTTTTTAAAAACCTTCAACTTTCAAAATAAAACATCCAGTCAGACTTGGCAAGGAAAATGAATAGACACTTCTCAGGAGAAGAATAAATGGGAAATAAATACATGAAAAAATATTCAACATGTCTGGCCATTAGAAAAATGCAAATTAAAACAACACTGAGGTTCTATCTTCAGAAAGAATGGCTATCATCAATAAATGAAATAATAACAAAATGTTGACCAGGCTACAGATAAAAGGGAACTCTTCTCCATTGTTGGTGGGATCATAAACTAATACAAACACTATGTAAATTAATAAGGAGATTCCTAAAAAAAAAAAGTAGAAATTCCATTTGACCCAGCTATTCCCTTTCTGGGTATCTTCCTGTTATGGTTTGTGTCTAGTTGTCCCCCTAAAGCCTCATACAGTTATGGGGTGGGGACTTCTAGAGTTTGAGATTAACTCATAATCCACTGGGATTATGGATGTTCCAAGGCTGGGATTATGGGTTTTAGTACTGCCGGGATTATGGATGTGAGTGCTATACCCAGCCTGGGGGTGAGAGCCTGAATGCAATATAAAAGAGACAGAGAGACTCTCTGTTGTATTGTTTTTGTTCCGCTGCCATGAACTAATGCTCTCTGACATGTGCCCCTCTGCCTCAGAGCCAGCTGAATATAGACTGAACCCTCCAGTAACTGTGAGCTAAATAAACCTTTCCTTCCTGCATTTTGGGTGTCAGGTATTTGTCTCAGCAATGAGAGAAGAGTAACTGAGACACTTCCCAAAAGTATTAAAAATATCATATCACAGTAATACATGTATATTCATGTTTATATTAGTACAACTCATAATAGTCAATTGATGGATGTTACCTGTTCACAAAAAAATGAATGGGTAAAGAATATGTGGTATTTATGTACAATGGAATACTATTCAGGATACATTTTAGTCATTTGTAGGAAAATGGGTATACCTTGACACCATAATATTAAGTGAAATAAACCAGACACAAATTTAAAGATTACAAGGCTTCCCTTACATGAGAAATCCAAAGTGCAAATAAAGAGCAAAATAAAAGTTTCATAATAGGAAACAGGGATATCTTTCTCAAAGGGGAAGGGGACCAACAGGTGAAAGGGGGAGGGAAAAGGGATGTAAAAGCATTTGCACATTATGTACATGTGTCAACATCTATGATGAATGTAATCATTATGTACTGTAGACATATACTAATAAAAGTAAAAATTAGGAAATTAATGTACTGAGGTCAAATATGAGAGAGCCATAGGAACCAATAATTTAGATAACAGAAAAGACTAGAGATGCTGCTGTTTAAAATATTATTTCAGTGCTAGAAATTAATTTATGTGTAATCATGAAAGGAAGCAACATTCCAGACCCAATATTAAGGATGAATTATTTAATATAAAAACAGACCAGAGCTAGGCATGGTGATGCATGTCTATTATCCCGGCACTCCGGGAAGCCAAAGCAAGACAATTGCAAGCTCAAGCCCAGCCTGGGCTACTTAGTGACTTAGCAAGACTGCCTTAAAATTAGATAGATAGATAGATAGATAGATAGATAGATAGATAGATAGATAGATAGACAGACAGACAGATAACTAAATATAAATATGGCTATGAATGGGTAGGGATATAGCTTAGTGGTATAGTGCCTACCCAGTGAGTGCAAACTCCTGAGTTGGATTCTCTGAATCAAAAAATGACTATGGTTGCATCTCAGTGAAAAGACCCTTGTTTCAATGCCCACTATTAAATACACACACACGCATGCATGCACACACACACTACATCCCCCCAAAATGCAACCTACTAGAAGTGAAATGTACCCACTCAGAAACCAGTAAGCTCCCTAGTATTAGATATTTTTTTTCCTTTTTTGAGGTGCTAAAGATTGAACCAGGACCTCCACACTAGGCAAACATTCTACAACTGAGCTACAACTCCAGCCATAGAAATTTTCAAACAAATTGAATGGTCACATCTTAGAGATGCTCCCTGTACTGAGTTTACAGGTGACTCCTGAAGAGTATACACTATACTCAGAGAGTTTCTCTAGGTCTTCAGACTCTTAAGTTTTTTGATTTCCTATTATTTGGCATTAGAAGATTCATAAGAGCCTAGTTGATAACCTCAAATAGTAGGGATTGTTGAAAAAGTAAAGAGCAACTATTACATCCAGTCTGCCTTGTTATGCCAAGAATGAATGCAAACAGCCAGTTTGACAGGCACATGAAGTGTGCAGTTGCTTGGCATAATGGAGGGTTTTCACTGTTTTGAACCTCTTTATTTATGAGCAGAAGGCCCACAAATTCTGTAGTTACTCCTAACTTTAATCTTTATAGGTTCTTACCACCCTATTCATTCCTTGTTATCCTGTCATCTGACTTCAACTTTGTGATAGAATAAAACTTCTCTCTCTCAGATCATCTGTTGACTAATTACCAATTCTCACAGGTCATTCTTTATATTTCCTTTATACAGCTGAACTTGTTTCATAAAGCTAACTAGAATTATGAAATGAGGGCCAGCCAGATAGCTCAGAGGATTAAAGCTCCTGCTTAAGCAGACACAGGGACCAGGGTTTGATCCCTGGCATGCCATGTTGGCCCCGCCACCGGAGCACCCTGAGACAGTGATTGCAACTGGGTGTGGTGAAGTGCGCCTGTAATCTCAGCTCTTGGGAGGCTGTGAACAGGAGAATCACTGTAAGTCTGATCTGTGTAGTGAGACCCTGTAAACCCTTTACTAAATACAAAAAAAATGAAAAGAAAAAGAATTGTGAAATGAAGGTAACTGTACGGTGCCTCAGGGTTCATCCCTTCAAATGGAAGTCATGCTGTAGTCACAGGATTAATTGGCACTCCTTTATTTTCAGGCTCAGAGATAAAATGATTCCCAAATGGATAAATTCAAAGGCTAAACTATAGTTCATGCCTGGCTGGTGTTACAAAACATATCAGTTTTTGAGTTTTGTCTTTTTTAACACAGAAATGAAGTGAGGAACATACCAAAGTTATCATCAGTAGAATAAATAAATGGTCGCAAATTTCCTCGAGTCTCCTTCACAAAATAATCAATGACACTGCAAAGGCTTGGGAGCGTGACCTGTGCAAAGAGAAGGTGAGAGAAGACTCAGCTGAAATTTAAGGGATTATTGTGCATTCCCTGACATCCAGAAAATGATGGCATCAATTTATTGCAATGATTTTAATTAACCATGTGTCAATTCTCTGTTGAGGAATTAGCCCTTTCCCATTGAATATAATCTGGTGGCCAACAGCTAGGTACCTTGATTTCCACCCATTTAAAATATAAGAATTATTGGTTAGGACAGAATATTTTCTCTTCCTGATATTTGAGCTGAAATTTAGAAGCGAGAGGAAAGTGATTTCCTAATCAAATGGTTACTATTAGAAGTAACTGGACCAGAGAGATAGCTCAGTAGAATAAATGCTTGCCTGGCAAGTGCAGGGTCCTGAGTTCAATCCCCAGTATTGCAAGAAGAAGAGGAAGAAGAAGAGGAAGAGGAAGAGGAAGAAGGGCGGGGGGGGGAGGAGGAGGAGGAGGAGGAACTGTTTCTGGCCATCAGAATGCTTATTTATAAGAATATTCTGTTATAATAGTTAGACATAGTTTCCTCTTCTTGAAATCAAAGAACTTTTTTTTTTTTTTAAGAACTCTTAAAAGTCATAGAAGCATTTTAATGTCATTGTATCAGAAGAATTTACTGGTCTAGGAGTCACAAAAATGTCTCTACCCCTAAAGTAATTATTTTTATACAAGGAAAATCTGGTTAAATTTGTATGTTTACATAACTTTAAAGTAAAAACAGAAACATAAGAATTCAACTTGAACTAGGCATGGTGGCATACGCCTGTAATTCCAGGAGGCTTGAGGAAGGACAGTGGCCAAAAGTTCAAGGCCAGCCTGGACTACAAAGCAAGACCCTTTCTCAGAAATCAAATAAAACTTCAGCCTGATTAAGGGGTAGGCTGAGGAGTTAGGAAGAGTGAAAGGTGAGAAGATAACCTAGACTCTTGGTTTTCCTTCCACGGTGGACTCTACAGCCAGAAAAACGTGTCCCAGTTCACCAGTTACAAGCGTGTGCCATGGGCCTGGAGAGACAGAGGAACTAGACATTCAGTTTTAGAAAAATGTAAATATCTTTGAGATCCACTAGTTCCATTTAAGTACTATTCAGAGACATTGTCCCTACAATGTATGATCATAAACCACATTCTTTTTAAGCATCCCGGAACATGGGCCACATCACATTTTTACTGCTCGAGACCAGTATGGATATGTTTTCTCATCTGTATAATAGACATAACAATTTCTACCTCGGGATACTGAAAAAACGTTAAGTTGTATATGTAAGTTACTTAGCTCTGTACCTAACATGGTATCTGGTGGTTTAGATTTTATATCATGATAAGTGATAAGTCAGCTAGGGCTAGAGTGGGGTTGAAGATAGTTTCTTCACCGGTCTGCTTTTATTAAGAGGAAATTTCTCAACTTCACCATGGCAGCTAGTATAGGCTAGATCAGTAATGGCAAACCCCTCAGAGATGAATGTACAATTTACAACCCCAAACCCATCAATGTATCACAAAGTGCAAATACTGCAATTAAACCTGAATACTGAAGTGTTAGTTTAGAAAAAAAAAGCTTACATTTTAGTATCTTTTGTCTTAAAAGAAAAATAACATATGCACCATAGGTGCACCACCACTGGTCTAGATATTCACAGATTTTTTTCCATCCAAAATAAGCATATCTAAATACTTATAACTGAAGGGTGTAAGACAAATGTCTAATAATACTCCCCCCTCCCAAACAATTCTATTGATAAGGCTTCCTGTGAGCAGGTGTGGTAGCCAACACACGTGATCATGATCTCAGCTACTTGGGAGGCTGAATGAGGTAGGGTAGCAAATTCCAGGCCAGCCCCATCTACTTGCTTCTTTCAAAAAATGAAATCAAAAGTAGGTTGGGAATATAGTTGGATTGTAAAGTGCTTGTCTAGCATGAGTGAGACCTGTAGCTTTGATTACTAGTAATACTGAAAAATAAGAAAACTTGCAGAATAAATAAAAATAGAAAGCATTTTTAGAAGCAGAGTATCTTCCCTGCTTTTTTCTGCACCACATCCCTAGAAGAAAAGTCTGCCTTCCTACCTTCCTTTGTGTTCTGTAAAGGTAAGTTGGAGTAGATAAGGAGAAAAGTCATCAACAACAAAGAAATAGCTACTTACAGGTTTTTCTAGTTCAATTGTGTAGTTTTCTCCTGTTTTCACTACTTTGTAGTGCTTGATTCTCGGTATGCTAAATAAGAATATGAATGGTTATGATTTGATTATAGGATTGGGTCTATGCAAACTGCAAGCACCATACCCCATGTTTATATAGTAAACCTATGCCCCCTGACTATTTGGGGAAAAATCCTTGTTGAGTTTGTCTTTTTTTTTTTAAACTCATGTCGCTATGGGGAGGGAGGGTTTTACACACCAAGGATACAGGAAATCTGGATTTTTGAGTGGATAAATAAGAAAAAAGGAGAAGTCAAGAACTAAGAATAAAAATTAAAAATAAAGGAAAATTAACATTAAAAAATATGAGAAAAAATAAAACAGAAAGTTTTGCCTTTTAAGTGTCAGTTCCACACAAAGTACACATTAGAATGAATGAGTGTTTATATCACCCTTTTCTTCTTTTCAGGTTTTTGTTTGTTTGTTTGTTTTGTTTGTTTGTTTGTTTGTTTGGGTGCCAAGGATCGCTTGCCAGGCCGCACTTATGCCACTGAGCTACCTCCCCGGTTCCTCATCCACTTTTATATCCACAGCTCCTCTCAAAGAGATATCATGTTGAAAAGTAATAAATTAATTTTATAACCTACTTTAAAAGCATGGAAGTAGGCCAACCAACTCCCTCGCTTTCCTAAAGAAAGTATTCCTTAATGCTGAATTTTCAGGAGTCACTTACAGACTGGTGAAAAACTTTTGGACAGGAGAGATCATACATATCTTGTACCCATTCAGGGTGGTTCACTCTGGCTTTAGTTTTACTCCTCTAAGGGGCAGATCTTTATAATCAGATGGTTACTTTTGCTAACTCTCTCCAAGTTCAATTAGAATTTCTGTATCCTACAAAGTTAGTTCTGGCTGTTCGTTGTTTCAAATTCTGGTCCCATTTTCTGTGCTTCCCAGTTTTTCACCTGTAAAATGGAGATGGTGATGCCCTACCTCACCCAACTGCTGTGGGCTAGTGCTTGCAAAGTCCTTGGTGGTGTCTGACATGTTTAAGCACTCAGGACATTTTAACTATTGTTTTACTACATTATAATTTTTTAGTTTTCATTTGGTAATCTCTGTGAGTCTTGTTCTCTTGTTTGCCTCCATGTTTTTATTGTGCATAAAGGGGATGTTTCTAGCATTCAAGTCAAGGTTCACAAGTGAGATTGTGTGGAAGGGGAATTTGATTGCTTCTCTTAGTAATAGTCATCAAATCTAATCATCATTTACAGCTAAGCTATGGGCAGAAAAGTGACAAAGGCCAATAGGGTCTCTTGGAATTCTGGTAGAGAAAAATGCTCAAGCAAATAGAAAGGGGAAATTTTCATGGAAGTTGCTTCAGCTTTGACTCTCATTTTAGAACTGTTATTTTTCTTTCATATTTTATTTGGTTTTTAAATATTTTCTCAACCTTCCTTAGTTAATGACTTTCCAAGCTGTTTTTAATATTAGCATGGCACCTAGTCACTAACTTCCAAAAATCAAAAACAAAACATGAAGTTTGTTGTAAGACTGGCTTTCTATTTTATGACCACCTGGCTGAGAAAAAAACAGATGACATTCTGCACCTGCTAATTTTCCAGTGACTCATTTATTCCTAACAAGAGTCTTCCGTCCCACAGCTGATTTGTTAACAGATGGAACATTTTTTGCTTTCAAGTACTGTTTTGTAAACCAACTTGTCCTTTTCAGCTACTGTTTGACCACACCAACTCATGTACCATGCATGGCTAAACATTTCTCTATAACCCATTTGTAAAATAATTAATTGGGGTTTTGGAAACATAGATGTTTCCTAATATTCTAGATTTCTACTGAAGTCTTTCATTAAGCTCTATGGTATAAGAAGCTAAAATTTAATACATTCTGTGATTGATGTCCCTAACAATTAAATGACCTGTTAAATAAAAGACATACAATTCAGGAATTCTCAAAGGCCTATTTGATGCATTAAAGAATACAGGTAATGATCCTTAACATTATACATGTATCTGGTTCATAAGGAAATCTCTATGTAATAGCAGTTAAATTTTTGTAAGTCGTCTTCACATGTAATCAATTCTCCAAAACCTACTGTGCACATACTGATTCCAGTGTATGCTTTAGCTTAACTATACACCTCACTTTTTGCTTTTCTAAATACTTAAGGGGAGGGCAGGTGATTTTATGAAATGTTATGTTAACTGACATCAAACTGGAAGTGAACTTACCAAAATTAGAATTACATAAATTTGACATGGTCTTCTTTTCCCAAACTTTCTTATGCATTTCAATACAACTAAAATACAATATAAATATAATAAAGCTGTGGCATTAAATTCATATCCTAAGAGTACAAACATTGCATTTGGTCATAATTCACATTTGTAGCAGAAAATGTTCTGTCTCTAGTTCAGTTGTATGGAAAATGCACTGCAAAAGTTGAACTGAGTTAGACTACTGTAATCATTGATGCATAGTGTCAATTTGAGATTTAGAAGCTTAACCAAGGGACACAGCAGGGAGCCAGGTTCCTCACTTTGTCAATGTCCTGAGCCCGTGGAAGAATCACAATTCTTACTATGCTTTTTTTTTTCTTAGTATGCTTTTATATGAAAGATAAACAGTGATTAAATATTTCCATGTAGGGCAGAAACCTCTTATGTTTTAAAGCCAGAGTCCCAGCTGAAATTCAAGTTTCAATGAATTCTAAAAAAAAATTAAGAGTAGCTGGGTAGCAGGGAGGAGACAGAGTCTAGCATCCTACAATCCCCATCATGGGTGCTCCTCCAGTGACCTGTGACATCCCAGTAGGTTCCACAGCTGAAGTTTCCATGCCAGTCAATGACCCAGAAGCTTTTGCACCCAGACTTTAACACATGAGCCCTCTGGAGACAATTATGCAAACCACAGCAGAGGAATTGGCTGAAGTTTTAGGGTCCAGTGAGGATAAGCAAGATTTAGGGAGGCAGAAATTTGTCCAGGAGGAGAGACTGCTGTGAAGTGAAGAGCTCCATCCAGGATGTGCTCCACCCTAAATTACTCCCTCAGTACAGGCACCAAAGCTCTGCCTCCTGACCATGGATGGAAACCTTGGATACTGAACAAAACTGTATTTTTATATGTTCATCATTCTAAAAGATCTATTTGTTACAATAAAAATAAATAAGGGAAAAAATTAAGAGTAGCTCTGAAGGGGCTGGGAGAGATAGCTCAGAGGAAGAAGTGCTTGCCTGGCAAGCACAAGGGCCTGAGTTCAATCCCTGGTTCCGCAAAAAAAAAAAAAAATTAGCTCTGAAAAGATCCACTCACTCTACCAATATAGAAAAATAGCAGTTGCATTTAACTGTTTCTGAGTTTCTCACTGGTAAACCATTTGACCAGAAGGTATTACTAATACTATCAAGAGAGTCCTAAAGAGTCCCTTTCTTCCTAAGTCAGACTCTGTCAACAGCCCAAGAGTCGCTCCTATCATTCAGAGTCCAACTCTTGTCCCTACAGTGACTTGTATGTAGAACAGGACATGGTGATGCACACCTGTAATCCCAGGAACACTCAGGAGGCTGAGGCAGGAGATCTAGGCCTGCCTGGACTATATAGTGAGAGCTTCTCTCAAAAAGCCCACACACAAACAAGGACTTTGAGTGATCTGTCCCTGCCCCACCTCTGAAATCTCACCTCCTAGCACTTTTTGGCTTTGTGACTCCATTGCAGATACAGTGGACTCTTTCTGTTTGTTAAGCAAGTCAACCATTCTTCTGCCTCTGGGCACAAGCTGCCTGGACAATTTGTAACCAAGTATTGACCCAATTTGTTCCCTCACACTCTATAATTCTTCTCAAGTGTCAGTTGATCAAGCAAGGCTTTCAAGACCACTCTATGTTAAAATAATAGCAGCTGCAAAAATTTTCTCTTTTCATTGCCATGGAGGATTCCTGGCTCTCATCCTGCTTTTGCTCTAGAGACCTTGTCATCATTTATGCCTGCATTTTTGTTATATATTTGTCAGTATTCTGTGTTTCCTTAAAAGAAGGAAACCCTTTGAAGCCAGGGAGGTTGGTTTTGTAATTCCTTATCCTCAGGGCCTAGAGAGTTATTTGGCACAAAGCAGCTACCCAATAAATATGCACTGAATTGAATGGATGAACTCTGCCTTCTTCCCTGAGTCACTCCCTACCCTTGGCTCTTTCTCTAGCCTTTCTTGTTCACATAGCTCCTTATTCTGTGTTTGTATTTTTAGCAACAAAACATGCAGCAAGCACTGATCTGAACTTGTGTGACTTTGCTTTCTAGAGCAATGTCATGTTTCTAACAATTGTACACATGTTTAAATGAAACATACTCTATCTCCTGTCGGATCGTGATGGAATAGTTTCCACTGTCACTACCAGGTCTCAGGATCATATTTCCAAAGGAAGGATTCTTCTCCAACATCTCAGTTGCCTCTTTCCGGGAAACTGTATAAAAACAACTAGAGAAGAGAGAGTAAAGAAATTTTTTAACTGATGAAGAGCATAACTTAAAAATAATACTATCAAAATACCTTTTAGTGCTGCAATAACTAATTTTTATTAAAACTCCAGTTTTTTTGTTACAATTATAATTCTATAATTTCAGTACCTATTATAACAAGCCTGTGCCACTGTGAGTTATACTGATGTAATTACTATCTTTCTCTCATTTTCCCAAATTCTCTTTAAGCAAAGAGGACCTGAAATTTTATCTGCCAATCATAGGGCCATCACCACTACCATTTAAAAATCTGAAACAATAGTTAAGAGTGTAACCCTAGTACCAGATGACCAGCAGAATCTTGGATAAATATTGGCTGGTGGTTTTACTTTCTAGGATATAAAACGTCTCTAAATGTATCTCTTACTTGATCCTTGCTTTTAAAACTGACTTTAGGTATACCTCCAAACATACTCCTTTGCTATGTCTTTCTATTGCATAGTCAATATTTTTATACATAATTTTTTAAGTAGCACTTTCTAGTTTTTATAATATACGGTGTAGTAAATGAAACATTGGCATAGTCATAGTACCAAAAAAAAAAAAAAAAGCCTGGTAAAGTATAAAATACACCAAAAATGTTAACAGTAAATATCTCTGAGTGGTGGGACTGAGAATGATTCTAATCTTTTCTTTACATGTAATCAACTGTCACAGTTTGTGTCTAGCTGTTTCCCCAAAGCCTTATGTAGTCACTGGGGTGGGCTTCTGCAGTTTGTGATTAGCTCATGATCCAGTACTGGAATTATAGGTGTGAGTACTATACCCACCCTGGGGTGGACAGCCTGGATGCAATCTGGAAGAAGGAAAGAGAAAGGTTTGCTCATGCTGGTGCTCTGCTGTTGCTCCTGCATTTTCCTCTTGCTGTTCACTATTTTTTGCTGCCATGAATTGTTGCCCTCTGCCTTGTGCTACACTGCCTTGGAGCCAGCCAAGTATGGGCTGAAACCTCCATTAACTGTGAGCTAAATAAACCTTTCCTTCCTTAATTTTGGGCATCAGGTATTTTCTCCCAGTAATAAGAGAAAAGAAACCGAGACAACAACATATTACTTGTTTTATTGAAAAAAAAGAAAGAAAGAAAGAAAGAAAGAAAGAAAGAAAGAAAAAGAAAAAAAAGCAGTTTGTATAATCTTTAACTTTTCAACCCATTGGCTATTTTTGATTTCAGCTGCCAGCTCTTGGCAGGTTTCAATGATTGTGGCACAAATGGAATCTGTATTAGAACCTGATGTCAAGTTTCATTGACAAGAACCCCCAGGAGAAAAGGGCTCACGATATTTTCACCAATATAGAAGATAAATGATGAGTGCTGCTGAGTTCTGCATGCTGTTTCTTTGCTTCTTCAACAACAGCCATCCTCAAAAGTACAAACTCCATAACTACTTTCTGGTCCATAGATTGCATAGAACATTTTATACATTTATAATTCTTTGATATAATTTTGACAGAAAATTGGTCAGATATAGAGCTATCTGGTTAAAAAAAAAATAGATAAATACCTTTCTCTTTTTTCTTCAGAGGAACTTTTATTTAGGTCTGAGCTCCAGAAAGAGTATCTATTTGATCTAAATTTGTGGGTAGAAAAGGATTTCCTGTGTGCGAGTTGGTTCAAATCTGCATTGTGTTGATTGATCATGACATAGAAGAGGAAATGTGGCAGGTACTCAGAGACATGCAGTTTATCCCAGTTTATTGTCCCTGGTTAAATAAGGTCAATGAGTAACTCTTTTTGATAGAAACTAGTCTTAACAATTAAGTCCATTAGCTAGAGTTCACTTGGCACTTACGCTGGCATAGGGTTGAATACATCCACATGTTCTTCAATTAGTTTCTTCTCTTTCTCCACAGATGTAACTGGTAGCTGTTCTATCTGATCTATCTCAGTCCTTCTTTTCTTTTCCTTCTCCAGGACTTCATGTAGTCTAATCACTTGCCCAGGTAGAAGTGTTCCATGTTGGGGCACAGACAACTGGAACCAATTAAAATCGTAGTGAGACTAGAAAGACAGCTAATAATGTGCTGGTTTTAGTAAAGATAAGTCTTTTATGATTCTAAGGAACTTTAATCAGTTGGCAGAGATGGATGGGTAGAATCATGAATAAATTTTGGTCCAGAGCGGATGTCTTTGAACAACCTCTAAACCGACTGGGACCTGTAATAGTACCCAAGCTTCTTCCAAGAAGTCTTAATTTTGAGCTGGTCCCAAACTACAGTACACCTACCTTGTATTGCAAGCTAATTTGAGCAATCACAAAAGTCTCATTTTTCATCCTGAGCTGGTTAGTTCATCAATGTGAGGGTCACTAAAAAGCACTGACAAGGTGCTTCATTTTCTCACAAGTAAACTTGGAATAAACTCTACAATATTATGGCATTAAGGGGTAGAGATAAAACTATCAATTAGACAAAGAGGATCAGCATTCAAACATTCACTCATACCCAAGAATTCCAATTCTTCTCTGCCTATTAGTTGGGTGTGTTGTCAACCTTCCTAGGGGTGTATTTTGGATTAAGTCATCAGCATAAGTCCTCCTCATTGAATCCCAACTCTCAGTTGAGTCCCAATGTGGCCCCAAATTCATGATCATACTCTTCAGTCTTCTGAGAACTGAGGCATAGAATTAAAGGTACAGCACCACCTGCCTGGCTAATTTAGTCCCTATCTATGCCCAGCTACATTCTCTTGGGAGATGTGTACTTTTTGTATGTGGCACCCATGAGTCTGTCTGAAGGCAGACATCTCTGCTTCCTATCTTAATCACCACAGGGGAATGCATGCCTTCCAAGTGGCACACAACAGAGTTCATGGAGTGTGGGAAGAAATAATACACACAGTATTTTGGATTATATGTGTGTGTGTGTGTATGTGTGTGTGTGTGTGTGTGTGTGTGTGTGTGTGTACATGTATATGTATATATGGTGTTCAAATAGAAATTCATTAATGGGGCACAAAATTAAAAAAGGTTTACAGACTTTTTATATAGGATCTCACTATTTAGTGCAGGCTGGCCTCAAGAAGTCTTCCTGGCTCAGCCTCCCATTAGCTGACATTACAGGTGTGTGCCAACAAAGTAGGTTCTAAAGCCATTGCTTCATATGCCAACCCACAAATAATAGTGTAATGGGGAAGAAGCTAAGAAAGCAAGTTACTCTTTATTTTTTTTATTTATTTTAATGTTTTCTTTCAGTTACTTATTAAATGGATATATCTCAAGCATTGTGAATATGTCATTGAAAATATACTATACATATATACATATATATGAGTATATATTAGCTAAGATAGTAATGCTGCTGATTTCTCTTAGTTCATTGAGGGGATAGGTTTGTGTTAATATTGTTTAGACAAATTAAATGCTGATACCTTGTATTCTGAGTAACTAATTTGAAGATAACAATATGCAGTGTGTTGAACATTTTTACCCTCTTATATTATTTTGAAACTTTGTTTTTTTGTTTATTTTTCCTTAAAATAAAAATTTTAGGGCTGGGGAGATAGCTTGGCAGTCTAAGCATCTGCCTGGCAAGCACAAGGACTATGGTTTGATCCCCAATACCGCATGCTATTCCAACCCCAGAATCCCAGGCAGCTGTGCTGGCCACCAAAACTAGGCATGGCGATGCATGCCTGTAATCCCAGCACTGGTGAGGCTGACACAGGAGGGTCACTATGAGTCTGAGCTGCATAATGAGACCCTGTACCAAATGAATAAATAATTTTTTAACATAAAAAAAAA